CTGGGCAGGCGCCGCTCCCTGCTGCCAAGGCTGAGCCGACCTTGTAAGGCTTACTGACCCGGATGGCTTGGCTTTTTCAGACCGGCTTCAGACATGTCATCAACACCGGATTAAAAGGCATCTATCTCCCTCAAGGGCCCATCCTTCATGTCTTCAATGGACAGAAAACGCGACAAGGTGATCTGGTGCTCTGGTCTTGGCCACCGAGGAGGACAAGTGCAAGAATTGGGCAGCAAGCTTAGCTATTCGGAAAGCCAGAAATTGGGCCATCAGCAGCCCCAGGCTTATCGTTGATCTGTGTGCTTCCAAGTCCCCACAGAGCTGTTCCCTGTGTCTACATTTGTCTGTGTGTGTACACACAGGTCTAGACACATAGCCAGAAGAGATGTGTTTCTGTGCACACACATACACACGCACATGCAATGACACCCCGCAACGAGCCACCAACGAGGTGGTACACCTTTAACGGGTCTCAGCATTTGGCCCATGGAATAAGCAATGATACGTGAACCGTAAACACTCTTTCATGTTGGCAGATGAGCACGCTGCACCCCCTGCCTCCAAGAACGGACAGTGGGAAGAAAGGGGATAACACAACGGCAGAGACTCACTAATCAAACCCATAATCAACTTTGATGATGGAGCAAGGGTTCTAATCAAGACACAGTGGGGCGACGGGGCCACAGGTTGGAGGTGTGGAGCTGTGCTTTCTTCCTGGGAGGAGGAAGGAGTGTTCTTGCTTTCTTTGAAACATCTCACAGGCCCACAGAGGATTTCAATCACTTCTAATTACTTTTTTGAGTTGCAAATTGAGCACCAGCCCCTGAAGGCAGGAAACGGCCAAGTATTATATTTCCCCCCTTCTGGACCTGTGTCTTTGAAATAGGCTATAGCTTCCCCTCAAATAGCTCATAGTCATTCCTTATCTTCAGGTGGGCTGGACAGGATTTCTGAGCTAAAGCAGAGCCTGTCTATTAAACAAATCCTTGCACATGGTCATAATTTATATAACAAACTAACATAGCCAACTCCATAAACGTACTTTTTGTGGGAGAAGGCTCAATTATCCCCAGGTCCAGGGAGGGGATCCAGGAGCGATGCGTCCCGATGGTGCTGAGGGTTAAGCGTTGGACTGCTCACCACAGGTGGGTGGTTCAAACCCAGCAACTGCTCCCTGGGAGAACGACGGGAGCAATCTGCTCTCATATAAACGTACCATCTTAGTCAGAAACATCCTAGGGGGACACTGTGAGTCAGAACCCACTGGACTGCAGTGGGTTTGGATTTGGGGTAGGCACTGCTGCAGAGCACAGTTTTCCCCACTGGGGGGCGAGACTTAGCTGTGGGTCAGTGGAAAGATGCAGGTTAAGGTTCCTGGAGGGTGGAAGGGTGTGTGTGTGTGTGTCAAAAGCGGGACTGTATCTAGCAGCTACCATTTGATGAGTTAGGTCATTTTACATCTTATGGAGCTGGGCAGCAGACCTAGGGCTGAAGGGGCTGCCACTTGCTAAAGAGGGTTATACATAGCACTATACCAGGCATGAGAACCACCTGCTCTGTCCTATAACTACCATGTTGAGTATGTCCAACATAAGCTAATAATAATAATCACAGTTGTTTCCCAAGGTCTGGTTGTGAATCAGGTCCTTGATGGATACCATCTCCCAGCACCTCACCACCACCTGCTTCTTAAGTTATTCATACCCACCCAGAAGCCAGCATGCAAAGCCTTTGTTCTTTCCTCTCCACACCCTTTCCATCAGAAGGCACCAGCTCTCCCCATGTGTGGTATTTGGTGATGGCAGCTGTATAGCAGAGGTCCTAAGCCCCTCTTTGCCGTAGCGTCCTCACGTGTCAAATAGGGATAGCACTTAACTCATTCATTAAACGAGCCATTTCATCAAAATTCTAAGCGCAATTGCGGACCCTAAGAAGTGCTATTATTAATGCCTTTATTATTGTTGTTGGTGGTGGCATAGTGGTTAAGGGGTAGACTGCTAACTGCAAGGTCAGCAGTTTGAAACCACCAGCTGCTCTGAGGAAGAAAGACAGGGCTTTCTACTCCCATAAAGCCTGGGAAACTCACACAGGCAGCTCTCCCCTGCCCTTTAGGGTCACAATGAATCAGCATGGGCTCGATGGCAGTGAGCCTGGTTTTCTGGGTTGATAGTCATCGAAGATGGATGTGGCATGCCTTCTCTAAAGGGTTGTTTGAAGATGAAATGAGATCCTCCGGAAAGAGCCTGGCATAGCAGTCACTCCACAAGGGTTCTCGCCTTCTCTCGTCCTCCCAGCACCTGGTACAGGATGGGTACTCTGTAAGTCCTTGTGGACTAATTGACACTTCACCAAGTGGAGAGAACAGGCTGTGCTCTCTCGATTCAAACCTCTTAGATTTAGATTTAGATGCCCTAGCTCTTGGGTTTAGCAAGCACCTGTCACCACCCACCCACCGTTAACTCGAGGTGACCCTATGTGACCGCGTAGAATCGCTCCATAGGGCTGCCGAGACTGAACATCTTATGGGGGCAGACCACTCGGGGGGGTTGAATTGCCAACCCTGTGGGAAGTAGGTAACCTGCTGCTTAATACCCTGCGCCACCAGGGCCCCTCTGGGTTAGCATCATACATCATTCAGCGGCTCGTTGTTTCTCATTTGCCAGAACACATCCACAGATGTTGTGGTTCATAGTCCTCACAATCCTGTGGTTGCTTATGCCCATTTTCACAGATGGGAACACAGAGGACCATAGAGGTGAACGGGTAGAGACAAGACACTATCAGTCCGCACTTGACTTTAAAGTGCTATTAGCCACTGTACACCCAACCACCCACCCAAAGTCCACCACATAAAACCAAAGAGGGAGGCCCATCTGCCAGTTAACTCATCGTTTCTCGAACATCCTCCACTGGCAAGGACCAGCTTTGGGGCCAGGCATTGCTGAGGTTTCAAGCCAGACACCTGCTCTCCATCAATAATGGGGAGGCTTTCCAGAAGACTGGCTGGTCACCATGTAGGTCAGAGGGGATGCTGCCAAAGAAGGCAAGACCTCTTTTGTCAGAGTCAGTATGCTACCAGGCTGGGAAAGTGAGTGTTAAGGGTCAGCCCTTGCCCCTTCTCACTGGGGAAAGCCTGGTGAGGAGAAGACATGCCAGGTCACTGAAAAGTGGCCAGCTCGCTCCGCAGCCCATTCTAGACCCTCCCTCTCATCAGTGCCCTAAGACCCACTGAAGGCAAAAGACAGAGACCCAGGAGAATTCTGGGCCAAAGGTCAAAGAGTGTGCCAGCCCCTGGAGGGGAAGGGCGTGGGGGAGACAGTGAGAATCACAGTTCTGCCTCTCTGCCCTCTGTCCTCTGAGAATGTCTGTCTGACAAAGGTCAGATGGGCAAAGGGTAGGACAGCTGTGGGGATATGAACAATCCCGGTCTCTACTTTCCCTCTCATTCCTCGGATGCTCCTCATCACCTCGAGGGTGTGTGTCATGTCCTGAGTCACCATCCTGGCCTCCCCTGCACCACCCACCACAGTGCAGATGCCCCGCCTCCGCGGATGACGGGGAAAGCCCCTGCAGCAGTGTACCCCAGCGCTCAAGCCTGTCTCCGAACCCACTGGGCAAGTCCTGAGGCTTCCAGAAGTGAGTCGAGCCCAGATCCTCCTGACACAGGCCTGGGAGCACTGGAGGAAGCTCGCCTTCCTCCCACATGCCATCACTCAAAGCTGTCAGCTTCCAAAAATGTTTAGCAAGTGCAGCAGCAAAGGGCTTGCTTATCAGCCTGGTGTGGGAGCTTAATCTGCTTTGAGGGCCTTCTCCACCCCCGTTCCAAAAGTCTGCTTACAATTAGCCTCCAGCTCCAGTGCCTCCACCAGCTAGGAATGTGTTGAGCTCCAGCCTCTGATCAGAGAAAGCTCAGAGAAGGTAGAGGCAGTGTCAGTGGAGAAAGGCCAGCTAGTCTGTTACCACTACACTGTGACACCAGCCCCAAACCTCCCCCACCACCCTTCACCTCTCCACCAACCCCACCTCCCTCCGGTCCGCCGCCGGCCTCTCCTGACCGGGGACAGTCACATCCATCAGGTCTGCCTGTCCCCAAAAGTCCCTGTTGACCTACTGCCAAGAAAATACAACATGCCCTGGCTCCCTCCTACCAGAGCAGGGAGAAAAAGCAGCGGGAGGGCAGGAGGCCAAGAGAACAGGATTGGCCCTCGCTGATTTCCTTAAAAGAGATTGCCTGGCCCGAGCCTGTCGCCCGGCCCGAATTGGGTGGTGCGGGCTGTCTGGCAAGGTGGGAGTCACCGTCTCCTTTCAACCACCCTCCCACCTCCCGCCGCTGCCCCGCCCCCGGCCCGCGGCCACCCTTAGCTACCAGTACCAGGATCTACCACCCAGGAAGGAGGGGCTTAGCTGCTTCAGAATGGCGGCCGCCCCCACTCCCACTGCCACCGCCAGCCAAGACGCTAGGAGTCCCCAGCTCCCTGTCTCAGCGGGTGTGCCTGGAATCCTGGCCCCAGGGACCGGCAGGGGCAAGCCACCTTCAGGCCAAGTGGAGCAGGTTCCCCCAGGCCCACTTTCCTGAGCCTTGCAGCCAGGTTGGGGGGTGGGGTGGGGGGCGTCCAGCCCAAGGGTTTGAAAAGCATTCAGACCATTCATCGGCAGGGACGGAACCTCTTGCCGAACCGACAGACAGAATGGCACGCACACTGCCTGCCTGGAGCCAAGCCGGCGAACACGCAGGGCCGTGGGCACACACACGCTTCTGAGAGGAGCCCGGCGGTGCCCACCTGCAGGAAGCCGCTCCCGTGGCCGCTTCGCGACTCAACGACTCGGGGGCAAACGTGCGCATCAGTGCCACACCCACCAGCTGGCCCAGTCTCCCCGCGCATCCCCAAACCGCCAGCCCAAGGGGCCCGGTTTCCTCCTCACTCACAGGGTGGTCCTTTTACCCACCTAGCTGAGACATACACCCACCCTCCCGGATCAGCGCCCAGCACGCCTCTTACCTGGGTGTCGAACCCGTTCTCCACGGAGCCGCTCTTTCGCAGCGGGAGCCCCTCCCCCGCCGGCTCCTGCAGCCCCTGCGATTTCAGGGGGATCTGGCTAGGGTACGAGGTCTTGCTCACCTCCACCTTGCTCCCCAACTTGAGGTAGCAGGGCTGGGGGCCGGGCCGGGCAGGGGGCACGTGCAGGATGGGCGCGGCGCTGTGCACCGGTTTGGGCAGTCCCGACTTCATTTTGGAGGCGACCAGGATGGCCGGCATCTTCTCCCGGGGCTTCGGCTTTCCCAGCACGTCCCTGGCAGAGGCGGCGGCGGCGGCGACCGCTAAAGGCAGCGCGGGCAAGGAGAGCAGGCGCCGGGCCTCGGCCCGCGAAGCGCCCACTGGCAGCGACGGAATAAAAAAGTCCCGGGGCCGGGCACTCGGTGGGAGCGAGCGGGAGAGCCTTTGGGGAGCCGGGGTGAGGGCCCCGGGGCCGGGGGCTGCGCTCAGCCGAGCCCACCTGGACGGATGCTGCCACCGGTCGCACGCCCCTCCCAGGCAGGCCGCTTTAAGAGCTCTCGGCGCTCGGGTGCTGCGGCCTCTGGCAATTTTCCTCCTGGGAAACGGAGGCTCGAACGCCCATATTATCCTGTCACCGCATCTCCGAAGTGAGTCGGTCCTCAAGGAAGGGCGCGAGCCGCGGGGACGCACGCCTCTGCGGTGTGAGCGAGCGAGCCAGCGAGCGCAGCGCGGGCCGAGGTGGGAGGGAAGGAGCGAGCGGCGAAGGAAGGAGAGGGAGGGCGCACCGAGTCCAAGACGCCTCCACCGAAAGGTAGCTGCCGCCCAGCTCGCGAGCACCGCAGTGTCACCCGCGACGCAGAGGAGCGGCGAGAGCCCCCGAAAGGTCTCTCCTGGCGTGACAGTCAGTCACCGCTGCCCAGAAGCCCCCCGGACGGGTCGCACCTTGGCACCTGCGGCTCTGCACATGCTCCGTGCGCTGTAGCGCAGCAAGGCCGTGGCCGTGGGGCGCGGGCACCGGGACGCGCGGCCGGCGGGCAGGGCGAAGCTACGGCTGCGCTCGCGAGCGGCAGCCGCGCTCCCCGGG